CACCGCAAGGTCTGCTGCAACCTGCTCATCGTCATCGCCGTTGGTAGCGGCGTCCTGCCTGTTCTCCTTTTTGACTTGTTCCGGAAGGACAACGAATCCCGATCCGCGTCCTTCCGAGTCAGATTTCCAGCCAAGCTTTCCTGCAAGATCGGATGCAAGGTAGACTGCGTGTTTATTCTTCAGCAGCTTATCACGGGCTTCTTTTAGCTTTTTGCCTTTCTCGACGCCGGTTCTTGGCGCTGGGGAGGAAGGAGGGTTTGACATGTAGGGAAGGGATTAGGGTCGTAGCTATGTTTCGAAGCGGGGAGTGAAAGGTTAGGCAATCCAGTCAGATTTAAGTGCTTTAAATGCTAAGAAAAGCTTGGCGTCGATGTCCTGATGAAGCTTGGACATCAAGATGGTCCTCCCGCTGTCATTCTACACAATGGCACATCTGAATTAAATGGAAAATTTGTTTTACCGTGCTGGCCTTCCATCCCACATACTACATCCCCTCCCCTGGCTTGTGATCCGTTTGAGTTTTTCAATACGAGTTTATGCCTGGTGGTGGGGGATTGCAGGGGTTCCGAAAGTCCAAGCTGTTTCTCACTCAAATCTTTCCCTGGTTGACATCTACAGGACGATGGCACTTCTGACAGGCCTGTGAAATGAATTTTGCCAACTCACTTGCACACCGCCTTTCAGATGCTGTTGTAACTGTGGGTCGTAGACCATTTCAAAGGATGAATTGCAGTAGAAACCAGGGGAAAGATATGACTTTGTATGGTGGATGGCCCAAGAGCTCCAAAATCGAAAAAAGGAGCGAGGTATTCTTTGATGAGTTGGCTGAATGACGTCGTGCGAGTTTATGGGGATGGATGCATGGGTGATCAGAGTTGGAGGTTTTTTGTTGAGGTTTGTTGAGGCTGCTGTGATCTTTATGCCGAAAGTATAGTGAAGTCGAGGCCTCTCGAGGAATTCACAGACATTCTGGAATAGACCAACGCGGGGGAGTACCCATGGTTGGAGGGACCGTGAGAGTAACGTCAGTGTTCGGTAGAAGTGCATAAAGCGAGGGACCCAAGCACGTTTACCAGTTTATCGAGGCTGAGGGTTTTAGAATTTCGAGGAGATATGCGCGTGGACGACTGGGAGGTTAAGCCTAACCCCAGTAGATTCGGTAATAGCCGTGACGGCCGGAGGCGGCAGCACGTGCCAGCCCATCTAGCGGTACTTGCGTAGGGCGTACCTTTACGGTCCAAAGATGATCTAAAACGGAAAGTTTAGGGGAAATAATAGCCAATTTGTGCTTACTGTATTTTTATCCTTTATTGGGTTTACGAGGCGACAAATATGGCTATCAAAATCACCTTTTTGCTTTCCGGTGTGCGTTTGCCACTTTCATCTAGCGCATTCCCTTAACATTTGGTGCGTTCAATGAGGGGAAATTGCGGTACGTCCCTTTGATCGCTTTCTCGCTCTGTTCGATGTACCTGCTACGCTCCAAAGTTGAAGTGACCAGAACGGGACGGGGACCTACTCTATTAGTACTCATGCAGGATCATCTTTTATTAGTCGATTGCTATATCTACCATACCCATCCGGGTGGCCCGAACGACAACGCGGCGATGGCGGTATAGATGGAAGTGCATAGTACATATATGGTCGTGGGTTGAGAAGGAAGTTTTCGCTAATTATGTCTATCTGATCTACCACGCTCTAAAGTTTGTTGTTCTATTCATATTATCTGTTACCTTTCTGCCACCCTGCAGTGCTAATCAGTCACTTGATAGACACGATGGATTCTCACCGCTTACCACCGGAAACCCTTAAAATCCGTGCTGTAGGGCATCACGATTGACCGACACCGCCATCGGGGGAATGATAAAGTGTATTCGATAATCTTTTGACTTCTGAACTGTGTTTGACAGCATTATTTGAAAGCTCCTGGCTAATTTTACAGTGTGTCTGGGGGCGACCAGGCCCGATATTCAATTTTTTTTCAATTGACATAGGCCCGCTGCACTAGACAGCTCGCCATCATCGAGCGAGCTCTCGTCGTTTGACAGACGTACACAGGTACATACGCTTATCGATAACATTCCAGAGTAAGAAACATATTCATTCCATCCACAATCGGCAGTTATTGGGAGAAATTTAGACCCGCACAACTACAATTGAACACCGCAAAATGCCGTTGTGCCGCAGTGAAAGTTCCCAGGTCCATGCCACATTCCCGTTCAATATTCCCCCCGGGGTGTGAGAGAGATTCCAGAACCATCCCGCGTTCTAAAAATTGAAGATTGAAGCCTATATATCTGTACCCAAGATTCAGCGCTTAGCGGTAATATGATGTGATTTTGGAAAACTGTTAGCAAGTATGAAATCATCCTTTTGTAAGAGCTGACTGTTGTTTCCCCTTGCATTTCTTTACATATCATCCGTCATGGAAAGGCTCATACCCATTTCTAACGGAGGAACGGATGGCTGAGGCTGACTAACGTTTCAAGCTCAAGGCCACGATGATCCGATGAATCGGAGATAAAGGATCTTATCTATCCAAAAGAAGTACCGTTCCGCTTCCGACTTTGTCTTGGTTCGGGAGTGATCGGGATGACCCCCATCGGCCGTTCGGATGAGAAAAAGATTTATCAGATAAAAACGGACCTCATCTTCCCTCCCTCGGTCATCCCACTTCCCCCCGCAATTTCCTTTTCTCCCCCTACTTTCTTTCTCCCGTATCATATTTCGCGGTATAATGGTCTCTGCTGTCTCTACAAAAACTATTGTCGTCTTGGGTGCTGCCTATGGAGGTTAGCGAACCGCGTTAGACCTTGACTGGGGACTGTAGAACTGAAAAGTTTTTCACCCAGGCAATCGTGCCGCCCAGATAATGGCTGCTGGTCTTCCTGAAGGATGGAGGATAATATTGGTGGATAGGAATACGTGCGTCTACTCGCCTTTTCCTCATAGTCAAATGAAGACTAACAAGCCCTCGTATGAACAGGCACTTCAATCGTAAGAACCTGTTCAACGAGGAAATCGTTCAGCTAGACTTAGCCGCGAAACGCTTGTAGACGTATACGTTATGCCTAGACTTGCCGTCCTTCCAGGTCACGAAAACAAGGCCTGTACGTATCAGCCTTTATCCCCGCTCTGTGCCATCGACAGTTCAGCGCTCAGCTCTTACCCGTAGTCATCCCTTACACCCGGGTCTTCTGGAAAAACACCCCGCTTAGAGAGTCACCCCACATTCTTTTACACGCCCACGTCGTTTCCGTTCATCCTCATCATGTCATTCTCTCAAAGGCGTTCCCAGAACAAGGACTTCCAACTACGCGAGTTGACTTTGACTATCTCGTTTATGCCCTAGGTTCCCAACTACCAGACCCTCTCAACCTTTGGGGACCTTCACCTTCAGCTAGTATCGTCAAGATACCGAACCCGTCTTACAATGGAACGAAAAAGGATAGTGTCGCATGGTTGAAGCAAAATCAGAAGGTGATTGAGGATTCGTCGAGCGTGTTGGTTGTCGGTGGTGGCGCTTTGGGGATTCGTGAGTGTTTTGAATTATATCTTTCCCCCAAATTTCTGATCATGGCTGTACCCGTCAATCTATAGAGTTCGCCACTGATATCGCGCACATCTACCCGTCGAAAGCCGTGACCCTGTTACATTCACGTCATCGCTTGATGCCGTTGTATGAGGAGGAGCTTCATCTCGAGGGTAGGTTCACGTTCGTTGATCTAGAGCGAAGACTGACGGTTATTCAGTTCTGAAAGGCCTCGAATCTCTCGGCGTAAACGTCATACTTGGCGAACGTCTGGACATGACCTCAGTCAAAGATGAGCCTGTCAAGTTCAACGAATTAGGCCAACGAGTCGTTAGAACGGTCAAAGGAAGGGAACTAGCCGCTGATTACATCGTGCGTTCTATCGCCCTCTGCTCTCCTCTTCCCTTATTTACCTAACAAATCCTTTTCAAGATGCTGTGTACAGGTCAAAAGCCCAACACGGAAATTCTCAAGGCTATGGACGAATCCACGATTAACCCCAATAACAATCTGGCCTACGTCCTACGCACGATGCAATTGGGAGCGGTTTCGGCGTCCAAGATGGGATCACCCAAGGTCGCTTCTTCATCGGCTTTGACACCACTCTCCGTTGCCACGACTCCAGACACGTCTTCATCTGTTGGACCTCTTCAATCGCCGGAAGAACAGCTCCAAGCAGCTTTAGAAAAGATCTCGCTAGCAGAGAAAGAAGCTCTCGAAAACGGTGATGTGGAGTCTGACGAAGAAACGTTGGCTAGTCTGGAACCAGAAGAGGACGAGGACAAAAACGAAAAGGAGAACGGACTGTGGAGTCCCTATCCGCATATTTTCTGTGTGGGTGATTCTGCAGATGCGTTCGATGCCATCAAGGCTGGACATACGGCTTATTGGCAAGGGGAAGTTGCGGGGAGGAATATTGTCAGGCTTGTAAAGGGTGGAGAAGAGCCTTTGGAGGAGTATTATCCTGGGTTACCGGCGATTAAGGTTTCTCTTGGATTGGTGAGTTGCTTTCATCGTGATTTCCCAGTGTTTACGGTACTGAGTGATCCGTTTGCAGCGCAAAGCAGCGTTCTCTGTCCGAGGTGTTGTAGGCGTTAAAGCCGATGGTGTAGATGATTTGCAGGCACCGATAATATGGAATTCTTGGGGATATGAGATTAATTCTGATAAAGATTTTGAAGCGTAGTGGAGAAACTTTCATTTCGAAGTTGTTGTTTTGTTGTTGGGAGGGATGTTTTGGGGCGCATTTATGGAACATACGTGCAGAACATAACATATTTAGAACCTTTTTGCATTGTTTCTACCCGAGTTCAATCAATCACGTTGTTTTTTATTTTCAATTTGTGCAGGTGGTTGGAGTTGTGTGCGAGTTTCATCTTGGGTGCAGAGGTAATGTAGGAAGTGTGCTCTTGGTAGGTAGTGCGGAAGAATTTCAAAAAGAATTAGGGGGAGGGGACGACCCATTCATTTCCCTCTAGCCGACTTGAACGACTGACCTCTTCATAGTACTTTGATAGCCAACTAGGGAATACTAGTGAAGCGCTCTACCACTGAGCTAAGAGGGACATATGGATTAACTTATTGTCTTCTATTCAAGAGAAAAAAAAGACTTTCAAAGAGACCTAGTTCCCCCTAGCTGACTGACCTCTTCATTGTACAGGCAACGACGCGCACTACACACTAGTGAAGCGCTCTACCACTGAGCTAAGGGGGACGGTCAAGTTCTTGAGTTTAATTACTATTATCAGGAGCAATCTGATATTATCCAGGCATCAGCGCTCAGCCTTCCAAGACTCAACAGGTCAGTCACCAACACTGTAAAAGTTCAACTCACCGCATTCTTCCGGCTGTCCAGAAAAAGCACCCATTTTTCATCCAATAAGAAACATTTTCACCGAAAATCATCAGTACATGATACGAATCATTCACCGTTCTGTGCGCCCCGATTCGTCAAAGCGCCAAACTTGAAATAAGGGCGACGACCATAATCCTAGGATAGTATGAACGCAGAATACCATCCTCCGATTCCAAAGAACCCTTTTCATGGTAGCTTGTGCTTCGGATCCACGGCTAAAGTAAAAACCATTTACAGTATGGAATCGGAGAACTTCGTAGTAAAACCACAGATCTCATTCAAGTGTATGCTATTTCTCTATCTGTCAACCCCATTATGTTAAAACCACCTCCACTCCTCGAAATCCCAAAATGCACTTGAGCACTCGTAGAAATTGCAGCCCACGACGGGTCGCACTCTTGGGATCTGAATAATCCAAGTTGAATCGTTGTCAATGCACTGAATTCCCTACAGTGTTCACAGAACCAGATCTCGCATCTGGCAGCTCCCAGTCTCTTGGTAATCTGTTGACAGAAGACGATACAGGACCCACGGGAACATGAATTCACCCCGATATAGAAATTTGTGTTATGGAATTCTGCCCTTTGTCAGCCATGATCGAACATTCTCCATCCGCACTCACTGTGGTGTGGTACTTTCCAAACCTGATAGATATTCTAGTAAATTGCACACATCCCTGTTTCTCTACTTCTCAGTACTCCATAAGCACAGAGCACGTTCTTTGAAGTTGAACTTGCCTCGGATAGGATGAGAATGTTCCAATTCCATCGGGGCGGGGCTTCCTCTGTATAGTGAATTAGCTCATGAGTGTCTTTCCGGCCAAGTAAAAAGGAGCAGGGAGGAGTCCATGTACAATAATTACAACAGGAACCGGCAGAGCCATCTCTTCCTGTTATTATTGGACCACCTACCTTTCAATTCACACCGTATACGAGGGGCAACATGTAAACCGCGGGGACGAATTAGGAATGTTCCACTTTGGAGGCTCCTCGTCCGCTCTCGTCTTCCGCAAGCATGCGGGGGTGAAGGTTGATGGACGATACCAAGTCCCAGAAACTCTGAAGATCAATTCAGAAACTCTGAAGATTAATTCGGTGATCGCCGTCGCCGGGGTCTAGGTTAGTCGGTCGATTGAGTCATGGCTCGTCTGATACAAACTTTTCGTTGCGCGGGCCCCTGGAATTTCGCCGCCGAAATCACAGATTCTAACTTCCCTTGGGAAAAAACAACACAAGAGAATATCAGCCTTTGTCTAAAATGTTCTGCCTGTTCTGTGTCTGTACTTGTAAATTGTAGTAATCTAGTGCATATCAGTTTCTGGACGCCCTGACGTGAATAAAGAACCCCGCATCTGCAAGACGGATCCCGTTGACATAGATAAAGCTACCACTCACCCCTCTTAGTGTTCTAATTTTACTATGCAACTCGTCCAGTCGTTGGTCGTTCTGTCGTTCATAGGTATCTTCAACGCGATCTCGAGAGGAAGTCTTTGGTCCCGGTAGCAAACAACCCGGCCTTCAGATAAGGATTTTGGAGGACAGAGGATGGATATCCAGCGCTTCTGCGAGGTACAATGCACGTCGATCTGGAAAGAAGTTGCACTTGTTTGTTCATCGCGAGCGCTCCTACGAGCGCCTACTTTCTACTCCCATCTGTACCATGTACTCGGAGTCGCTCAACTCAGTCATCACCTTCGAACCACCTTAATAAAGAACTTGAATTATCTGACACATGTTGTCATGTTACCATTACTTTCTATCGCCACAGACCCTTCCCATCCTTCATGGAGAAATTCTGTGACTCGAAAGATGATATCCCTCCAACGTTCGGAACTCAGTTGGCAGTGTGCAGTGCGCTCGACGCCTAGCTGGAAATTGGAAGGTAAGGGTTAAGCACTATATGCACTCTCCATTCTACGCCTAAGAATTATATTGTCTTCGCCCCCTCCTATGCAAGGCTATGTCGAATCCAAAAAGCCTCGACTCTTGCAACCGAAGTTTACTGTTAGTACAGAGCTCTAATTTTGTGGTATGAGTACGAGTCAAGTTCTACCAACAACCGAACGAATTTGCTCCGGATTTGGCTACAGGTGATAGCTACGATTGGGCAATCCCACTAGTTCGTCAACGGATAGATATGCACAGCATACGAGTCCATGTCCTCTCAACGCGTACGTTGACTCACGGCGCGCCCAAAGATATCCTACGCCACAGTCCTGCCACCATGATATCAATATTCAATATTCAGATCTCGGAAAAAAAATCGCGAACGCAGATCAACCAAGTACGATTATCGAAAGGACGAATGCTACCTACACTACCACTAACTATTACATTACATACTGTAGAATAAATAGAAATCGTTAATGATACAAGCTGAAGCTACACTGTAAATGATCATGATGTGAGTCGGAGGGGATCTAAATGAGTTAAAAAGCCATGGTCCATGAATAACGCGTCGTTAGCCTATCTATCGCTGATTGGTTGAACAACCTCCTGAGTGATGTATTGTGGTAGGGTGTAGATAAATATGCGTGTGCACAGTCGACCGCCTGTCGAATTAACAGGTTGAGCCCGGGCAACACTAAAAAATTTCGTCAGTCTCGAAGTCCGAATTTTCATGGAGAGACTACGTACAGTGGGTGAGGTTGGATCGACGCATCGTGAAACTAGTGGCCTAGTGCTCTTGGAGGTTTCCCGAGTCTCGGAGACCGAGTCGAGTCCAGATCTCAATGGAGTAGGTGAACAAGTCGCAAAGAGACTATAAATTTAACGAGAAAGGGAGGTCAGTTATCGACTATAGAAGATGTGGCGAGTCAGCTCACCTCGAGGACAAGAGAACAACAACGGTGGTGAGTGAGAAGAACTTCATGTTTTTCGGAGTTGGTGGGTTGGAGGAAAGTTGATAGGTTTGGTTGAAGGTAAGTGTTGAGTAGTTTAGAAATTTAAGAGATACTCTCAGCAGGTTCCCGTACGAGCCTTATATATTGGTTGTGCATCTCCTGCTGAACGGGACTGGGAGAAAACCTTCAGCAATTGCTGTGGCGGGAGTCAAGGCTGTGGCTACAAAAAGAGGTGAGACGTTGACACCCTCGGTACCGCAATAACATTACATCACGGGAGGATGGAGGTGCTACCTCAACAATGTGAGTCTGTTGAAGACTCGGAGTTGGCGCTGTTCGATCTTCACTTGGCTATTTCTTGCCTCTGTGAGGACGGGTGTATGAGAATAAAAAAACGCCGAAAGCTGTGTGATCATATTGACCGACCTCAATTTAATCGGAAAAGCCAAAAATTGACGTCAGCTGAAATGCTAATTCCTGCTGTGTTTTTTCGTTACACTCCGCACGACTGAGGTTGCAAGGGGTCGCGACGTTATCGCAACACTCAAGAACAAGATATTCGATAGGCACCAGTACCCAACTGCACAGTTCTTGTGAGCGAGTGATGCTTGATCATCGATACATCAACGACCCCTGATATCATCACAGACCGAACGAGGCATAAAGCTGTAAGAAAGAGCTCCAAGCTTTGTCCACGTCTGTCCACATTTACATACATTGATGGTTGAGGACATTCCCATCAAGGTCTCCTATACGGTCGTAGGCCAAATTTTACCTCAGTTTCCGTTCCTAGAAATAATAATAATCCTGATGATCACCAGTCTCTAGCGTGCTTGATGACCGCTAATGTGTACAGAGATCCAATCCGTGAACTCCATTTCGGGTACCTGGAGCCTGGAAACATCGCCAATGGTCCACATAACCTAGGAAAACTGCCAGAAAAACTTACCGGATATGTGTGTCCGAGTCGTCCGACGGCGGCATCGTTTCCTGACTCGTTTTACTTGGTGGGCGCGATTGATTTTTGTTCCTGAGCAAGGGGTTTGTAATTTAGATGCAGGTACTAGAATCACGGTCTTTAACGCCGTCGAAGTTTGAACTGCAGTGGCCGCGAGATTCACTTGGAAATTTTTGTGTTTTGCGTCCAAGCAAATACAGTGCCCCTGCTGATAAACAGCACAGCCATATTAAATAGTGCTCTTTAGTTGAAACTCGGTTGAAACCTGAAGGATACGGGAGTTAATATCGGTATCCGTGTCGGGGTATGCTGGGTTCTGTGTACTCCTGTGAACCGCCATGGCCGTAATGGCCTCGAAAGACTATTGCGGAGCTCTGAGGGAGTTACTAGACGATGAGTGGATTACGAGTATCCGAAGAAGCCCGTGAGTCCCAGCAGCCGAAGGCTCGAAACCCGGTGGTCTGTGATGCGTCCAAATTGTAGTATCCAACACAACCTTCGGAGTTGCCGATTAAAGGGTATCCTAAGCTTTTTTTGAGCGGGTTCGGGTAGCGGTAGGCATAGTTGAATCTAAAATTGATGAAGCGCACTTTTGACGGTATTCATGATTCAATTTCAATGTTTTAGCTTCCTATTTGATTTGCTTCAATACAGACAATCGAAACAACAACAATAATAGCACTTACAGACAGGAGTACATCGAGTACTGGAGGTATTGTTGAGGATTCCAGAGCAAACAGGATGGACTCAGTAGTTTCTGGATCTAAATCCACTAAAGTGCGGATTCCATCTTGTGAAACTAGTGAAGGGGGCATGATCTTATGTTTCCTGATCAGGATTTGAGAAAGCCTCCTGCATTTCCTGTGATATTCAAGGGCTATTTTTCCTTCCTATAAATTTGATTCATTAT